AAATATCATTTCAAGTAATTTTGTTCGTTCATTAAAAAATAATTGGCACATTATGAAATTTTTGGAAAAGTTGTCAAGAAAAATCACAAATTAAAAGATTTTTTTGTAAAAACATCGCAACTTGAAATTTCAAAGCTGAAAGCACACATTAATTATGCAAATTATGAACCTTTTAGCACTCAAAAATTCTCTTTATATTACTTAAGTGAGGCTGTCTAGATTTTCTTTTTTTTTTAGTAAGGCATTGTTCTATTTGCCATCATAATTTTTGATGTGTCAATATCAAAATTTCATTTGATTATCAAATATCAGATTTGTAAGAAAGGACTAAAAACTGGCCATTTTTAAATTATGTGGAAAATAACCTTTTTTATTTTATTTTTTCTTATTACTGATAAATAGTAAAAAATTTGCACTAATCATAGTTTAATAAAGAAATAATTATTAAAAAAACATCTAACAAAATGATGATTGTATCAAAAGTTAAAAAAGTTTTCACTTATGCATAAGACATTCTGTATGTATTTCCAATTGAGAAATTGACTAAAAAATTTTTCATGTTTATTCCTTATAGCTAATTAAAATGCCCACTTTAATATTTGAAATGGAAACATACATAATTATCTATCATATTTATTTGATAATGATCTAATTATTAAAATTACTGGTCGATAACAACTTACGTATTTCGAGTGTTATTGACAGTTTTATACCATTTCGGGAGAAAGAGTACAACTGGGAAATGATAAATAATAAAAATAACAATCGCGCCTCATTTTTAATAATTTATTCAAATTGTTAATAACTTCTGAAATTTTGATTCAGATTATTATCGACCAGTAATTTTCTTAATAAAAATATTATCTAATAAATAAGGTAATTAATTACAATTGATAAGTCAAGATACATATTAACCTAAAAAATCCTATAANATCAAGATACATATTAACCTAAAAAATATGAAAAATATCCTATAAAGGACTTTCTTAACATAATTATTACTTCAAAAGAAATTGAGTGAATATGAGTAGCTATCCAATGACTATTAAAAGAATCACCCTGAATTTCATTAGCTCATATTGTCGTAAGTCATCGGATAGTTAGAGCATATTTTTTTGCAAAAAGCAACCCATTTCGTGGATTGACCTGCAAAATATTTAACGAAATCACTTAAATATTTTTTTTGTAAAAGACAGTTAAATGGGGTATTAACCCCCACCATTATATAGAATTATACCAATCAACTTAAAATATAGACAAGTAAATAAAAAAATTGAAAAAAAATTGAAAAAAAATTATAACAATACAAAAAACAATGACTTTTTACACCAAAATATTATTTTTTGAATAACTTCAGGAGCCGTTTACAAATAGAAGATAAGTCGTCGGGACAAATAGAATATTTATATAAAAAAAATTTGTTTTAATTTATTCATTAAAAAAAAACATAATAACAGTTTCAAGAAAAATAAGTTTCAAAAATGTTGAAATTGTGATTTTAAAAATCACAAATTTTTTAGGAATGTTTGTCTTTTACAAGGAGAAATTTTTTTTTTTTAATTTTCAAGGGCAATGTCATCAACTAGATACGATTTGTGATCTTTAAATGTATCATTAAAAGAAATCTAATGTAAGCGCTGAGAAAAAATGGCGACAGACATAAAAAAAACGCATCNGTAAGCGCTGAGAAAAAGTGGCGACAGACATAAAAAAACGCATCATAGTAATATTAATACATTCTCAGATTCCCATCGAAGCTAAAATATACATTATTTACATATTTATATTATCATTATAATGTATTTAAATTTTTATCGTATCAATAATTATCTTCCAAGTATTGTTATATTATATGTTAAATTTTACAAAACAAGACAGTAAAAATATTATACTGGAATAAGATTGTTAAGAAATTTTTTTTGTGTTGTTTTTAATGTTTCATAAATTTATTTGTATTTTATAAGAAATTATCTGTATTTTAGATTCAATACGAAGCTGAGAAGGTATTAGTTTTGTAATGGTGTGTATATTTTTTCATCGCTGTTCATGAAAATTTTTAGCTCTCACTGGACTAATTTCAATGATCAATACATTAAATGAATCCAATTTTAATATAATTGAATTCGGAAGCACTAAAAATTTGAAAAAACTTCCTCATTTTTAGAAATTTAAAGATATATTTCAAAATTTTGTTATGGTAAAAAGTATCATTTTAAAATATTTTCTGTAATTTAAAACTGATGAAACCTTTTTTTTTAACACTAATCCAAAAAAGACATTTTACTTGAGTAAATTAGAGATAGTAAGCTTTCTTTTGGTTTGCGGTTTATAAAAATCCAATGGTAAACATAAGTATAGTAAGGGTTTATAAAGTACATTAACGCATATATAAAAAAAAATTTTCATCATGATTTTTAAAAATTTTTCAGAAGGTCTGGCTGGAAAAATACATCATATTAAATTTTATCTTTCAACGTCAAATCTAAAACAAATAAATAAAAAAAATATTTCTGAAGAGGTTATTCATTTTTTTGTCTCAGTAAACTGATGTTAACTATGAGGAATTGTAAGGTTAGTAATTAGTTATAAAATAAATTGAATTATTAATAATGCATAACGAAATAACTTATAATAGGTAAGAAAATTTATTAAAAGAAATAACAGTTTTCCTAATATTACTCATATATTTAGAATTCATTCGTTTTTACAATAAATAATTTTCTGTAAAACAATTCACAAATAATTCAATTAATTATTTGATCGTTTTATGATTTAATAAAATTATTCTATTATAACAGTAATAAAGTAGTAAAAATTAGTACACCAGAAATACAAGAAAATATTGTTTGCTAAATACTCAAAAGATTTTTTTTGGTGCGTAAATATATAAAATGCAATTTCGATTTCATGAAAATATAAATGGGGAAGTTAATATTTGTGTGCCCATAAATCGAATTTTGTTTCCATATACATAATATATATGATGCGTAAGTCGTTAACAATGCACAGATCTAAAAAACAAACGAATAATAAGGTACAAAAATAAAAAGTAATGAAATTCTGATGAAATCCAGTATTGCGTTTATCATAAACATAATACGGTTGAATAAAAATGGGGAGTGGTAAATTATATGTTAATCTTTTATTAGTCTATGTCAGCGAGAGAAAATAAATGGGTAAATTAAAATTGACTTTTGTGTAAAAATGACTACACTCAAAATGTTTTAATTTATTGTCTATGGATTAAAAAACATTTTAACAACTTAAAATTTGGTTAATAACGACTAAGAAACTTTATTAATGCGTATATAGTTTAATTAATTATAATTTGTATTATAGTATTTTTTACTTTAAATAACCTGTATATTATAAATATAATATGTTTTTTTACTACGTTCTCAATTATTAATAAAGTATACAGTAATACATCTTTTTAGAGGCATATTTTAACAAAATATTCAACCTTAGAATATATGATATCATGTAAAAAAAAGACAAAAAGTACATTTATGGTAATAAATGATAACATACTACACACAATCCTAGTGGTAAATATAAAACAACAATGTTGAATTATTCCCATGTGTTGCAGAACCAGCATTAATATTCGTTTAACATTAAGTAAATTAATACCATTAAATTTGAATTGTTAGAATTTTGTGAATAATTATAAGTTTTCCTACAAAAGTTGGTAATTTTTAAACAAAGATCTAAAAGTTTATTTTCTATTATTCTATTTGCAAATAAAATAACTGCTTGTTTATCTGAAGATTGTTTGGGATATAATACTAAGCTACCAGTGCACGGTTTCTAATCGTATGATCAAATCATTTTATTTTTAGTTAAGTAAACAAGCTAATTTGGAAAACGTGGCAATAAAAAAATTAATTAAACAGTGAGTTTTGATTTCGAATATAACTTTGCAACCTATAAATGGCGTGTCGCAAACGATTGTAGCATAATCACAAAAAATATTTGATTTTATGACTTATAAAGCTACATAAACCGCAATATTATTAAATGAATATACTTAACGACTCCTATCTTCAAGTAATAGTATCTTCATAAAAATCAGAGAATTTTTGAAAAAAAATAATGCCTATTTTAGAAAACTTAATAAATTTCCTCTGAGTATTATTTTTATTTAAAAAATAATCACATCAATACAACAATAGTTCTTAGAATAGGTTAGAAACATGACAGCACTTCTGTATAGGCAAAACGTTAGCTTGCACGTTGTTTAAGTAGCAAAGAAAGTTTTATGAATTTTAGTAAAATAGTATCTTTTGTAATCCGCATAAATAGTAAATATATATATATATAAAATAGGCAAATAGTAAATATAAACAGCAGCTTACGTTAGTGTAATGCTAAATATTTTATTAGAATAAGGAGTTAGCCCAAAAGTCACTGTGAGAAAACATAAATCTTCGACCAAATATCAGTGTAGTTATGAATGATTATGTTGACATGACGTATATTAATTGTCGGAAACCAAGATGTTTTCGACGTGCACGCTTGTATAATGAAAAAAAATGTTTTTCTCTTTATAACTCTCGAGAAAGCGTTCTTGGTGACAAGTAGGGAGGGTTTAGCAGCAACACAAGTCATACAATAAAACATTAATGAGGAACTGCAGTATAATTTTGACAGTAAAAGTTACTATTGTGCATATTTTTCCTTGTGGAAATTGCAAGAAAACGAATTACAATTTTGTAATTTATTATTCAATACTATCAGTGTTCAATGAAATATCAATACTGTAACTTACAAATGTGTTAATTAATAAGTTAAAACATTATTTTATGCGCGCAATCTAAAACTGATTAAAAATGAATACAATTTTGTTGATACTTATGATTACTCAATCTGTGTACCAATTTAGTGTAGCTAAGCCTTATAGAGTTCAAACTATTAGATTGGATTTTAACGAACGTATCTCAGGAGGGTAAGTGGAATCAATTAACGGGGATTTGTCGGATACTACAAATAAACCTATATTACATTTTCAATCCCTATACAAGTACATATAATATTAAGAAAAACTTACCACTTCGATTTTCGCTGTCAGCCGGTTTCATTTGAATTGGATGGTGCATCTAAAACGATTAAATTTCGAAATTAAATTCAATTAATAATAATTACAAAATGCTTTATATTAAATCCCACTGTGACCACAAAAATAATCAAGTACACACGAGTTACATGTTCTATTATTAACATTACCAAACATCATGATGAGCATTAAATATATTATTTCTACGTACAAAACATTGCTTATTTAAAATTATACTTAGTTAAGTTATTTTATACATAGTTAAAATGCATGTCAGTGTAGGTTCGTTAAAGAAAAGTTGCAAACGTAAATGCAAAATATGTATACACGTGGTAAAATTAACGAGTTTCTAATATCAATCATTCCATTGGCTTTATCAACGTTTATTTATTTCTCGTTTTGACTGTATTATTTCTCTTGGGAACTTATACATACAACCATTGTTTTTTCTTTAAAAAAAGTACCATGTGCGATTGAGACTGGTAACTCTCAAAGGAGTAAAGCTCCAACAAAATAAGCGGAGAAAACCGTCAGTAGAGTATAATAATTGAATTGTGGCTAGATATAACAACAATATACCGGGATGTATATAAATATATTGAAAGTACTTAGAAAGAGTCTACAAAACTGGCAAATATTTCGAATGGGATTTAACTATTCTAAAAACATCTAAAAAAATGATTTATTCGTCATTTTATTAGACCAACGTCAAAATGTATTAATTTTATTCGATTTAATCCATAAAAATATTTATTTACTAAATTGTTGATTTAAATAATATTTTATAAAAGTTGTAAAACATAAAAAATAATTAATTTTTAATCCAATAGTACTTGGCTTATTTATATTTTCATAGAGATTATTTTGATACCACTTAAATGTTTCTAAATACTATAGCTGTTATAAATATAATTCTACTTATTCAAATTTTGTTCAAAGGTAATTTTTTTTTTTGCTGGTTACCATAATACTGTGATCCACCTGCAATTCTCAATGTTAAATGACGAAATCATTTAACGACGATTTATGTAGTAATCGAGAAACTTTCGTCTACATTATAGTGAGTTTTTCTAGGTTGTATGCTAATTTTTGGCCCTTTTTTGTATAATTTATTACACTTTAATGTTCTCCGTACATATGGGTTCAACGTAAGGTATGGGCAAGAATAACTACTTTCGTTATACAACAGTCAACGAAAATTTCAAGTTTTGTTTTGATAAATTTTTATCATCCAACTTTATTTATCGACCAGTTTTTGTGTTTCCGGTCGGTTGAGCTTCAAAAATTACAAAAACAATATAATTCCAGCATTAACGGTGTCCCCTCTAACATGAAAGTTTTCGCAGCCACGAAAAGCGTAATTAATCTTCCTTTAATTGATTTAAAATTGTTTGGAATTTAAGGGCATAGATATCGCAGCCAGAGAATTAAAAGTTTTAATTTTCCGCAGAGAATTGCGTAGGATTTAGAAGAGAAATGAAAAGTAAGGAAAAATGATAATTCAACAATAAACAATATTAATACATCACACAAATATATGAGAAATTATAATGCGCATTACATTATCTTGTAAGAAAGACGAACAAAAGAAAAATAGACCGTTTTGGAAAATTAATGTCCGTTTTAAATGAAAATAATGTGCAAATTCTTACTCCTGGTAACGTTTTGATGTTGTGTAAAGCATTCTGAGCGTCCAACGCAGCCTTACGCGTGAAATACGTGACAAAACAGCATCCTGTAAAATAAAAAATAATACATTCGTTAAATTATTTTCTGTTTAATGCTAATAGTATAATTTGTACAAATCTATTGACGGTTTTATAACATGTATATTATATAATTCTTTAGTAATTTACAGCAAGTCATGATCGACACAGTTTTCATACTAATTGTAAATACAATATATATATATTTTTTTGCTTTTTAAGAATAAATATACGCAATTATTTCGTAAGTATTTTTGTTTAAATATAAACAGAGACTTTATGTATGACAAAATCCATCGGTATCACGATTGTTTAGATAGTATCAAAAGAGAAAATCCGTCGAGATAAATCTTCAAATCGTTTTTCTAATAGCTCTTCCTTCCGCACTAAAAACATTTATAAAATCTCCCCAACAATCTTTACACAAATGAATTTATTACATTCGTTACGCCTCGATAGTACTTCCTACTCTTCGTGAATTCTGTCTATAGCTAAAGGTCATCAAACTATTTTTTTTTTTTTAGTAGAGCTACCTATACGACAAATTTTTATTTCACTTATCTGAAGATTACTCGGCAACAAAAGATCTTTAAATAATTATACTTCATCAAAAGACGTCTAGTTTAAAATCGCTCCTTTCTTTTAAAAAAAATATTTATTTTATCAATAAATACTTATCTAAGCAATTAAAACATACTTTTTCAAAACACTAGAAATCCTTTAATCTATAGTATTTAAGCGTTTAATTTTTATCTCGAGTTTGCTTTATACTTAAGCAAAACAATGAATCTTACTAAAAATGTCTATGGTCCTTAAATTAATACTTCTATAGAGGAATAAGCATATAAAATAGTTGAAACTGATTAGGTACTATAAATGTGACAAAGTTAAAACAGATCTAAGGAATTATTTTCTTATTATAAAAATGTAAAATAAATAAAAGCTTTTTGAAAAATCGTATTCTTTCTCGAGCTTACCTACAGTTTCACTGTTACCAAGGAAACCAATAGTATAAACGAAGTGATTTATGAAGCTAAGGTTCGACAGTATTCTCCGGATACACACGGCTGTTTTACACACTCGCGCGTAAACATAAACGTGGGTACTCTTTTGTAGAAGAAAGAGATACCAGAGGGAAAGTAATAAGGAAAACGGGGAGAGACAACTGTAAGAAAAATATACGAATTCATTCAATTTCCATATTACTACACCAACTTGGATATGTATACACATGTTGAGTAATGAGAAAATACAGGCAAACGTGTTTAAATTAATCAACCCTTTTATACTTAATGGAATTAATAATTAGTGAAATATTTTGTGAACTTGCATACCTTAAAACGCAAATTTATAGTTTTTATGCGTTATTTACCTTTTCCAATTTTATATTAATTCATTTTATTTATACAGAACCAAATTATCCCATTTACAAGAGTAATTTCTAAAACTAAAGTTATTGCATTTTTAATTATTTATTGGAGAATTTAAATCATTTATTATAATTATTTATAAAATAATTAGTAAATGAACAAACGAAAGAAATCATAAGGAATTTGTAGATATAACAGTTCAAACTAAACAGAACAAACATAAATATTTTTTTATTAAAATGATTTTTTTATCTTAACTCACTCAATTACTCACAGAATAAAAATAAAATGTTAATTATGGCTATCGACAGATATGTTTTCTGCATTGCTAATTGGTGTATTTATAAATGTTAACTCACAACAATGTGCCTTACAACCACTCATTAAGCATATCTGTTGATAAAGTCATAATTTACAATAAAAGCTTCGTATCTGTGATAACGATATCATAAAAAGCCTATTTGTTACCTTATTTGTAATCCCTTGTATGTTATACATATATAATAACTTAGAAATTCGAAACTTTAATGTTTTATGTCTAATAAACGAATAAAGATATGTTAAAAATTCAAATGCCATTTACTATTAAAATAAAACATCAGACATTTTATTAAATTCAAAATACGTGTTCCTATTCGAATAAACGATTTCGTAAGAGTGTCAACTTACGAGGCATAATGGTAGAACTTAAAAAGTATTACATAGGTAATAATTCAAGAACAATTTGTAACTTAAAGTATCCAAAACAAATGTTTTTATTCCGCGAGTAATTGGGTTATGATAAAAAAAAAACTTTGTATAATGTTTGAATGAAAATAATCTTCAACTATTTTCTACTTTCCGAGTTATTATAATTACTTCTTAACTTAACGTTTAATGCATATTTTTGTCTTCTAGTGAAAGCAATTGGATATTAGGTAGCACGATTAAGAGTCAGGAGGACTCGTCGAAACCCATAGAATATAGAAGACTGCGAAACAACTATAGTAGAAAAAGTAAACAAGATGTACATAGAGCAGACGATAAAAGATATTTTGGAAAATTAAACCATGTAACGATACAAATGTTCGTAGAAAGTTGGACAGTAAAAGTTTCTTTTGCTGACATCATCCCAAAATACAGTCTGGCAATACTCATAAACCACCACAATTCGATGTCAAGTTTCTCGTTATGCTATCTACTTTATTACTAAAAAATCAAATAATTGTTGATCAGAAATATCAAAATTGATTTTATACTAAAATATTACTTTAACTACTAAGAATAAAAATAAAATTATAGATTTATTGTGTTTTTAGGATGAGCTGGATAAAGTAAATTATTAATTGATCGTGACCAATTAGATTTCCAATTAAACTATTGCTGAAAAAATCAAGTCGACAAGAATAAAATTTGCAGGAAACTACCAAATATAAAAAATTCTTAGTACATAGTACACAGTCACATACTGTTGAAATATATGACATAGAAAAATCCGTGTACTTGAAATACATTTTTAAAGTCTTTTGTAAAATTAAACATTTGATTCGTTTGTTTTTCGGGGTAGTTATAAGATGCCACTTTCCAATTTTATTAAAATCAGAGTAGTAAGGATGTTTTTTTTATTTTTCTTAAAATAACAAAAAATGTCCAAATGAATTAAAAAATTATGATTCATAAAAATATTATTATAAGAAAAAATAGTTAATTTATATCATATAAAAATAAAAAACTGCCTACCATCCAACCCCTATAAATTGATATTGTTTTGATTTAGATAATTTATAGTAAAATGCATGTTCATATTACATTATGCATCGAATTTAAATCGATATAAATTATATTATATAATGCATGCCTAATTTTTCAATAAATAAATAATGTACTGTTTTATTGTACTTACTCACGTTTTGTTATTTTTGGCTATTACATGATTTATTATAATAATAGAAGGATCCTAAAATGAGTAATGAAAGATATATATTTTTTCATCCACATGATTATTCCTTTGATAAAAAAGTTTACTGTTGTTGCTACAGTAGCAGTAATCGGTAACCCCCATTGTGAGTAATACCATTATATCACAGTAAGGGAAAATTTCAGAAAAACATTTTAAAAAGAATACATTTTACCCCTTCTTGGGTGAAAAATACAAGTGCATCATTGTTTTCATCATATACGTTTTTATACGAAAAATACTAAAGAAAGAAATACCAAAAGTTCTTTTTTATATTGTTTTCATGTTATTAAATACACAACAGTCGTAATTAATGTTAGTAATTGAATTATGCACAAAATTCAAAAGAAAAAATTACACAGGCTTTTTCATTAGGTTTTACTACCACGTTATTTATTTATCGTGTTAACAGTTCTTAGGGGAACTAGTGGACGTTTCAACAGAAAGTTTTTTAATATTTCACTCTATTAATTTTAAAGATATAATAAAAAAAAATTAAAAAATAGTTTTGAATTATTAAAAAATAATATTCTTCTAATTTAATATTTGGCTCTATAAAATGTTTTCATTGCTTATTAGTTAAGAAGTATTTATCATAAAATATAATTAATTTGATTTACTTAATTAAGTCACATAATGAGGCTTATTTCAGTATATGAATAATTTAAACTTAATAAGGCGATGAGAGTATATTATTAATTAATTACACTTAGTTGGCATTTTAAATAAACATTATAAAATTACATATTGCCTAAATTTTACATCATCGAAATGTGCCAAGTTGTAGATAATTTTTTTAGCACTAAATTTTTAAATGGTTTACCAGATCATTTCTCCACTAAAAATATATTCTCTAACTGCAATCACTTGAAATATTAACATTTTAAAGTATCGCCTTTGAAATGTACAGTACCTATTGTGCACGTTGTTGACATGGAAAAATGAATGAAATGAAAAAACTTAAGTAGTGCGCGATTTGTTACTATTCTAATGTATTACAAAGATTCTACATTATATTACATGAGTGTCCGTAAACACTTTAATTAAATATGATGATCAAAGTATATTTTAATTTCGATCAGAGCTGCTCATCACTTTTAGATAGATAATAAAGAAAAACGTGTATAGTCGTCGGTCATAAGTAGCAATACTTTAACTGAATCTAAAATAATTTTCTGGTTACCGACATTTTTTTTTGGAAATAAAATGACATGAGACAAGAAAATAATCCCTGAGACACTTTTAATAATATTTACGATAAATATACATTATAATTTGTTTATAAAAATCTTTAAGGGATCGATTTTTTTATCGGACATTTTAAAATCATTTGTTAATTAATAATAAATTCAATTTTTAATTTAATTTAGCTCAGGATGCAGTTTAAACTTAAAAAAGTAAACACTATCTACAGATTTGCATCGAAGCGTTTTTTATGATAGTGATTTTAATTACTGTCAGATATCATCTATACTGGACCCAACTATGCCACGACCCCACTGTGCTGGGTTTTTTTTATTTGAGTAACAATAAAATATTTTTGTACTAATTATACGAAAAAAAATCTGATACATGTAAAAATAAATATTGTTGCACAAAAGTGATCAGAATATTCATTATAACGAACGACTAAAAATATTCTTCCAAAATAAAAAGAAAACACTGTTGTTCGTAGAAATTGCATAGTTGAATACGCTTTCAATACGCACAATGATAAGTTTAA